ATTTAATACTAAATTTTCTTCTTATCTTTATTTTTATTTTTATATTTTAGATTCCTCTTACATTTACTCTTGTAATTACATAACTTACATATTAGTTTCATGAAAGTCATGATTAATTCATACTGGTTACTGAATCATTCATACTAGTTATCGATTAATACAATACAATATAGATAGCAATTATTAATTCATACCAGTTACAGAAATATTCACAGGAGTAATGATTTACTCATACTAGTTGCTGAGTCACTCATGTAAGTGGTTAATGATTCATTGTAGTTATTTAATGAATAATTCATACAAGTCGTAGAATAAATACGTGTTAATGCTACATTCATACTATTTACTGAATAATTCATATTAGTTACTGGAAAATCCATACTAGTTAATGCCTAATTCATTCTGTTTACACTCTTAAAAACATTGATTCTTCTTGGGTTCTTCAGTAAAGAAAATGGTTCTATATAGAACCATGAACCCACAAAGAACACTTTACATGATTATGTTCTTCAGATTGATGGAGAATGTGTAGGTGGTTCTGTATAGAACCTTTTTGAAAATGGTTTTAAATAGCACTAAAAAGGGTTCTTCTACTGTAACAAGCTTCTATTCTAACAACAGCAGAACCCTGTATACCATACATTCTCCACCAATCTAAAGAACGCTTTCACAATGCAAAGAACCATTTAATCACGCAAAGGGTTCTTTCAGTGTTCGTGGTTCTATATAGAACCATTTTCTTTACTTAAGTACCCTCGAAGAGCCAATGTTTTTAGGAGTGTAGTTGAAGATTTATTCATATTGGTTACTGATTTATTTCTTCTACTTACTTAAAATTCATACTAGTTTATGATTCATACTCGTTACAGACACAGTTACAAACTGTGAGAAGATATAGAGACCTCAGATCTAAACTCCAGCAGTGGAGCTCATCTCTGCACTTTTAGCAGGTGCGGTTAGACCCCTGTGCACCGTCTCTAAACTCTGTCTGCTTGGCAGCTCAGTACAGAGGCTGCATGAAAGGCTCTTGCTCTAATAGGGGAAGGTAATTATGCCTTCCCACAGTAACTGTCTGCTCACTGCAGCCTTCAACAGATCCAACCACAACAGCCCACAACTCTGTCAGCTAAACTAGGTGGGTAAGAAAAGAGACAATAAAGCAAAGTGTGTGACATCAATTAGCCCAGCCAACGAAACGCACAGCCACCCCGTCTGAAGCTATACTGACACTAATTAGACCAGCGATTAATCATCTGAGAATCTGTGCAAAAACACAAACGCAGAGAGAAGCGCACACACTCCTGTGGTTTTATTTTCCAATAACATGATTGGTTAGTTAGCCAGATGACTTAAACTTGAGGGACGTTTATAGTGGGTATTTTACTTTGCCATTAAGTTATTCAACTCACTGGAAAGTGCTTCTCTGTATAATTGTTATATAGAACACTCTTTGTGGCCTTATAAGCATGAAGTGAAAATATTTTTCTAAATAAATAAAATATAGTACTGATATGAATGTAGGTGTTAAATATTCAGAACTGTATGGCTCTCATTGGACCACTGGTCACCTGAAATGGCCTGTTGTTGAACAATATAATAAATGGATGGATGAATAATTCGGTGCAGTGGTAGAGCAGCCATCATAATGTCATCATACTGCGAGACACAAGATCATCAAATTTCTGTTCTAAACATAACATTTTTGTTCCTCACAGGCTGTCACATCTATCATATCAGGGCATCGGAGTGGAAATGAGCTGCTGCCTGCATGTATAAGTAAACGGATTAAATGGCACTATGTATCACTAATTACACGGATTTCATCAGGAGTATAAGAGTTGATCTAGAATCAGTTTGTCTGACCATGACTGTCATAAATACAAAAGAATATTTGTTAATAATATCCCAATAATAACCACAAGAGATGGTCGTTTTGGCTTAAGTTATGTGGCTAGCTACCACACACACACACACACACACACACAGACACACACACAGACACACACACACACACACACACACACACGATAATGCATTTACACATATTATCACATCATATATGTGCCACTGCATAAACATTAGGTGAACTTTATTTATTTATTTATTTATTTTGTTTGTTTGTTTGTTTGTTTGAGTTCAGGGGGCCTCCAAAGATGCTTGGGCGTTACAAAACCATGATTTGTCCCTGTTCCAGTCAGTGTACTATAGCAAAGGCAAGCAGCCCATGAACACTGACCTGTAATTCAATACTAAAACACAGCCTGTTATAATGTTCCCATCAGTAAAGCTGTAACACCGCTGATTGTAACACCATTGACCAAAAAACTAAATCTGAGCTTTTCTAAATATATTCCAGTGCCACTTTAGTTACGTGTGTAGAAAATTTCAAATATTGCGTTCATGATGTTCAATTTTACAATCACTTACTGTTCCACAGGTAACACCGCTGAAGCCGCACAGGTAACACCGCTGACAACCTTTTTGTGACACATGAAGCCGTCGTCAGTGTTTGACCCAAATTTATCAGAAATAAAAAAGTCATTTCACTTCTCAGAATTAGTCTTTTTTCTTTTTTTATCCACAAGTGATTAAAAAAAACATTTTTTTACTGTTTCTATAACACCACTGACAATAATTAAAGACAGAATTTTCAAGTTTGGTCAAGAAAATATATATATATATATATATATATATATATATATATATATATATATATATATATATATATATGTATGTATGTATGTATTATTGTTTTAACGTGAATCTGAAAAAACCAAGCATCAAAATTGTTGCTTCACACAAAAAGTGTCATTCTGTTTTTGATGCAACATTACTAAAAGTCATCCAAATAGCACTACAGGATGTAAAAAAATTGAGAGAAGAGTTCTCAGTTTCTTTCGGGGTGGCGGGGTGGGTAGCGCTGTTGCCTCACAGCAAGAATGGCCTGGGTTCGATTCCCGGCCGGGCAACCAGGGTCATTTCTGTGTGGAGTTTGCCTGTTCTCCCCGTGTCTGCGTGGGTTTCCTCCGGGTACTCCGGTTTCCTCCCACGGTCCAAAAACATGCAGTCAGGGTGATTGGACATGTTACATTGCCCCTAGGTGTGAATGTGTATGTCTGTCTGTCTGCCCTGCGATGGACTGGCGACCTGTCCAGGGTGTATCCTGCCTTCCGCCCAATGACAGCTGGGATAGGCTCCAGCACCCCACCGCGACCCAGAAGGATAAGCGGTTTAGATGATGTATGTTCTCAGTTTCTGTCGGTCAATTTTGTAACAAAAAAAACACACAGAACTCGTTTTTCTTATTTTGAGTAATATATTTGCCGTTGCTATGGCAGAATGACTCCTTCACCAGAGACAGATCATCAAACACAGCTAACTGAAGGAAAACAATCGAGTTCTACGGAGCCCTGCTGGTGACATCCTGTATAAATAAAAATAATGCGTGGCCACGACTTAGTAAGGCGTGGGAATGAGATGATTAAGTCGTGGCCACAACTTAGTAAGCCGCGATCTCATTCCCACGCTTTCCTAAGTCGTGGCCACGACTTAATCATCTCATTCCCACGCCTTACTAAGTCGTGGCCATGCATTAGGATCTCGTTCCCACGCATTAATAAGGTGTGGTCACGCATTATTTTTATTTATACAGGATGTCACCAGCGGGGCTCCGTAGGAAAACCTTTTAAACAAGACATTTAGTAGCACTTGCGCGATAAACATCCTGAATTACTCAACTTTATTTTCTACTATATCCACAAACGGTGCAGGACGGAGCCCCGGAGGGGACGGAGGTAGAAAAAAAAATAATTCGAGCGAACGTTTTGTAGTTCGTACGCACGTTTTCTCTTATTCATGGTCACGATTTTCTAATTCGTTCCCTCGTTTTCTTTTAACCGTGGTCATGTTTTATTTTTAACTGAACGCTCGTTGTTTGTGTTTTGATAACAGCTCCCTGAGACCGTCTGACGGGTTTTGACGTGTTAGATTGATGAGATGATGAACAGAGAAGCTCATCAGGTCTGATTCTGATTTGGGGGGTTATGAGAAACTGCAGCTCCTCTTCACAGCGAACGGCCCACAGTGTTTCTGCTCCCGGTCAAGCTGCGGTGTTAGGGACCATCACACAATTACAAGACGAAATGATCAGCGTTTCAACATCCTCACATTAATATATCTATATATAATCCATAGATCTGTTAAACTCTCTCGTCATTTGACCTCATCGCCCATGAGTGTGTCTGTGTGTGTTTAATTTGAGTTTGTTGAAACGTTGACGCTGATCATTTCTTCATGTAATTGTGTGATGATCTCTAACACCGCAGCTTGCCGGGGAGCAGAAACAGCGCTAAGCGTCTCTCTCTCTCTGTTAAATACGATCATTTCAGTGCAGTTTAGTGAAGATTGTGGTTGTAGTTTGTTGTCTTCCTTCATTTCACCACCAAACTGCAGCTGCACTGATGAATCCGAGGGCCGTTTTCTGTGAAGAGGAGCTGCAGTTTCCTCATGATGAGCATCATGATGACCTGATGAGCATCTCTGTCCACTATCTCATCAGTCTAACACGTCAAAACCCGTCAGACAGTCTCAGGGAGCTGTTATTTACTTCTGCCCTGGACAAAAAGCACGACCTGTATCTACAACACTGATTTTGCGCGCGAATCAAAATATATATATATATAATAACAACAACGTGCGTTCAGTTAAAAATAAAGCATGACAACGATTAGAAGAAAACGAGAGAACGAATTAGAAAATCGTGATCACGAATAAACAAAAACGTACCCACGGAAGTAAAGAAAACGTGCGCACGATTTAAAAGACAACGAGGGAACGATTTAAGAAATCGTAAGGAAAACGTGCGTACTAACTGCAAAACGTTCGCTCGAATTAATTATTATTTTTTTTTCTATCATCATTTTTACCTTTGGATTTTCGTTTCGGTCCTAAACTCGCCTCGGCGGCCGCCGTAGTGACGTGACAGGCTTCGGGCTCAGCGCTTACTCCCATGATGCAACAGCAAACAAAGGGGGAGCGGAGGACGGAGCACAAAAAGTTTTAAACGCTTCATATTTCCCCCAAAAAAGCAGCCTAAAGCCGATATATCAACACCAGCCGCCTGAACGGAGCGCTGAAGAGTGAATTCAGCAGCGCTCGTTAAGGAAACACAGCCCGTCAAGGCGATTTGTGCTGTGAAGTGGGATGTGGTAGCCGTTAGCACAGCAGGCTAAATGTTATTGAATTAAAGTCCGGTTAATGTTCGGATCGCCGCTCTGCGCGGCGGCATGAGGGCGATTAGTTGACCTCGTTAGGAGACGAAAGGTAACGTTAATCTGCTTTTCACACTTATTTCCCTCTTGTTTCGTTGCCAGGTTGTCGTAGTCGGGTGTTATTGTTGTGTTGGTCTGGTTTCCTGAATAATAAGGCCTTATATCTTAGCTTGTCTGCAGTCTTCCACGTCTGATAACCTTTACAGATGAAAACAAACAAGTACATTTGGAAGAAATGGATGTAAACGATTTAATATTAGTTCATGATGTCCGGGTTTTAAAGTGGTCTAGGTTGTGTGAAAACATTCAGTGCACATTTTATGTTGTCATTAAACAGTTCTGACATCTGATGTTTCACAGTTTTACAAGTATTTTCCCCCCCTTCTCTCTTTCTCTCCTAGACACGGCACTCGTGGCTATATGTGACTAGCTATGAGCAAGCATTCTCGTTTGCCTTCCTCTTTCCTGGAACCTTCTGCGTGAGTCATCCTCTTCCAACGTATTGGAGGGAATATTCAGGATGAAGAAAATTAGTCTCAAGACAATAAGGAAGTCATTAAACATAAAAGGGAAAGACGAGAAGGCCGTAGAGTATGCTGTGTCCCAGCCAGACCTGTCTGCCGGTTTCCCTGCCGAGGATGCTCTTTACGGAGGCTGCTATGGCAGGGAGCTCATGGGCAGGGACTTGGACAGTGAAGAGGTGAAGGGATCCAAAAGCCGCTCCAAAAGTGAGAGCCTCATGGGTACGCTGAAAAGGAGGTTGTCTACGAAACAGAAACCAAAGGTCAAAGGGAGTTCGCCGTCCGTTTGCTCCATAGATGACGACACGTTCTCCTCGTCGTCTGCGCCCGTCACTTTCGGCGACCTCAAATCGCAGCATTCTTCCCGCTCAACGTCTCTTCGAAGCCACCATTACAGCCCCACGCCGTGGCCCCTCAGACCAACAAACTCGGAGGAAACATGCATCAAAATGGGCGCCAAGGTAAAGGCGCTGATCCACTCCTCGGGGTCCAGCCCAGTGCTCAATGGCATCCGGAAAGACTTCCTGGAACTCCAGAGAGAAGGGCTGTTTGAAGAGTCCAGTGGCCCCTTCAAAGATTCCACGCCACAGAATGGTGATGTGCATCTCGAGATGGATGATCATGTGCCTGTAGTCATTGGTCTCGCAGCTCAGGATTACATACAGTACACGATGCCTTTAGACGATGGACTTTACCCTGAGGAAGGGTCACGCTCTTTCTGCTTGGATGGCACTTCACCCATGGACGTGGTGCCGCAGACGGAAGGATGTTCCCTTCAGGTGGATGAGGAACCCATTGACCATGATCTCCTTTCATCGGATATTTTTATGGAGCCTTCAGTCAATAGGCTTCTTTTGAACACTGCAAATGCCTTGCTGCAAGGTTCCAGGCTTGAAACCCCTCTTCCCCCATTGCTACCTCAGGTTCCTCGGGGCCAGCTCCCCAGGAGCCTTTCTGGATTGGACGGTACGCACGCTCAAGTGGCAGAATCGGTCATTCACCATCTTAGCTTTGACCCCAGCTCGGCCCCAGGGGTCCGGCGGGTTTACGATGCCGTCCAGAACAGCGGGCCGATGGTGGTGACCAGCCTCACAGTGGAGCTCAAGAAATTGGCCAAGCAGGGATGGTATTGGGGCCCCATCACTCGATGGGAAGCTGAAGAGAAATTAGCCAACCTTCCGGACGGTTCCTTCCTGGTTCGAGACAGCTCCGACGACAGGTATCTCCTCAGCCTGAGCTTTCGCTCGCAGGGCAAAACGCTCCACACGCGGATAGAACACTCCAACGGCAGCTTCAGCTTCTACGAGCAGCCAGATGTCGAAGGCCACACGTCCATTGTGGATCTTATCGACAATTCCATCCGAGATTCAGAAAATGGAGCCTTCTGCTACTCCAGGTCACGCTTACCTGGGTCAGCCACTTACCCTGTCAGACTGACCAATCCCGTTTCGCGGTTTATGCAAGTGCGATCGCTCCAGTACTCGTGCCGTTTTGTCATTCGCCAGTACACGCGGATAGACTTGATCCAGAAATTGCCTTTACCGAACAAAATGAAAGATTACTTACAAGAAAAACACTACTGAACTGATTGGAAGCCGACCCCTTGTTGCTTCTTGCACTTTTTTGGGATGACGACACAATGAATAAGGTTTTACAGACGTTGCGGGGGGCTCATTGGGTGCCATTAACCTACACGTTTTACATTTTTGTCAGAAGCAGAGGGTGATATTTGTTCAGTGTTTGTTTAGTATAGATAGTTCCGAAGTTATTGCTAAGAATGTGGTTAGAATGATCAGAGCGTATTACTGAAGTATCTGCATGCTTGTTAGAACTTAGTATTTTTTTAACCCAGGTTTTGGTTTCTGGAACAAAGCATTTCATGGAACAAAATGATTTTTTTAATGTACCACATTAGCAAACATTAGTAACATGTTAACAAGCAAGACTCCAAGTGTTTAGGGTTTTTTTGAGCGGCGCACAGTGATATTTTGCCTTAATGGTGTCGATTTCTGAGAGGTTTAGTTGGGTGCGGTAATTTTGGGCAGATTGAATGAAGAATGGCTTCAATTGTCTAATATAAATAGCACTGTTCAATCAAACTTAGCAGTGGTCTCGTATTGCACTATAGAAATCTAGGCTAACACATCGAATCTGTCCTGTCATATTGAAGAGCTGTTTGCACCTCCATGGAGTTACACTAATAAGCTATATTAGCTGGTGACATGTTTCAGAGATTACTATCTCCGCCCTTCTAAACTGTTTGTTTTTTTTTGTTTGTTTTAATTTATCTTGTTTAGTTAAATTCTATAGCACACATGAAGCCAAGGACAGAGTGGACTAAACTTCTCCTGTCACCGAATCTGCGTATGTTTTTTTTCTATTTTTTGTTTTGTTTTATAAGAAGACTTTCCATTTGGAATTATTTACGTTGTAATCGTTCCTATGCTATTTTGCTCCTATGTCTTGATTCTCTTAGTGTGCAGGAAGTGAAGGATTGTATAAACAAAGTTAACGGTACATTTTATTTCTATAATTGACTTAAGCATATAGCAAATGGTTCTCCATTTCAAAATAATTTCGTATTATCTTATTTTTGTTGGTATTAATTATTAAAAAATTTGGTCATCAGTCCTGGAATAATATATCGGTCTAGATCGATTGTTTACTGTGAGATATCTTGGTTCTTTGGCACACTTTCTGGTCTTAGCCTGACATAATACAACCAGACGTCATGCACAGCTTTTACAGGAATGATTAATTGCAATTCTTGCCTGATCTTGTTGTCTTTAACGGAAGATATGTTTCACTGCATACTCCCCTTTTACTCTGTGGGAATACCTGTGTTTCATCATAACATTCAACAGACGTTTATGCTCTAATTAGTAGCGCTGTTCCGTCCCAGAAACCGTTTGGTTTCAGCAGGCCTGTGACTAAATGCAATGCATTAATTGTGGCCTTTTGTGTTTAGTTGATTGCAGAGGCCCAAATTGCGATAAATGATTCATATTCCATGACATATCCAGCCTTACAACGAAGCCAGCAGGCGGTTAGCTTTGAATAGTAAAAGGACAAAGCTTAATAGTGAACAGATAGTGAAAGCACCCACTGCTGTTTTTGTGGGACTGTGATTGTTTTTGTTTTTTTTTTCTTTCTCTCTAGTCTCGTATTTACACCAGTCACCAGTGCTTGCCTTTTAAATGACCAACATGTGGTGTTTACCCACAAATGAAAACTATAGTAAGTCTCTCTTCTTGAATTGTATCCCCTCCAGACCACTTAGACTTCGAGTGACGTTCTTGGATCGGCCCCACTCTGGATCCTAGAACAGCACCAAAAGTCCAGGTGTGGAAATGGTAGGCCCGTGCTTGGACATGCACTGAGTTTACAATCTATACCTCGTACCTACACTAGCCATTTTATCAGAAACAGCCATTCAGCTACACTTTGTAGGTTCACAAGTACTGCCTGTAGCCTATTGCTGCACATTCTCAGCTTGTCAGCTTTCTTCTGCTATGGACCACCGTATGCTCACAATTGACCAGATATAATTTGGGTGGTGGTCCATTCTTACCACAGCAGTGACACTGACATGGTAGTGGTGCTGCTATGTGTGTATCAGGCTCGGTAGTGTTGCTGGGGTTTTTACATGCTGTGTACTGACCACTTTATCAGAAACCCCACCATTGTATCTCCACATTGCTGGTGAACAGTTAAAGCCTGTAGCCCATCATGCACTATTTGTATTATCCTTCCTCTCGCCTTTAATCAGTGGTCAGTGATAGTCCACCATGACGCTACTGTCTGTCCATGCTGTGCTAATTTTGAGTTTCTTAAAACATTCTGCCTTATAATTTAATGATTGAATTATTCTGATTATATCACTCAATAATACCTGATCAGTGGTGGTCATATGGTGGTCCCTTTCCATTGATTGATGGGGTCGAGGGGTGCTGATAAGTGCAGTAACAGATGGGTTACAGCCTGTAACTAAACCTACAAAATGTACCTACAGTGGAGTTCAGCTGTCAGAAACTACTACTAAAAATACTTATTTTTTCCATTCTTTTCTAATTAAATACATTTTATTACAAATTATATTATCTGTGTAAACGTTTGAGTAAAAATTGGAAACTTTGAAGTTTTAACACAAATTTCAGAATTTCTTAGCAGATCAAATCCACAGAGAATCATCTGATAGTGAGCTTCAGTGGAAGAGATAAGACCAAAAAAGAACTGACCTTTTTGTACGAAGGCCATAACGGTCAGTGTTAGTGACTGTTAGTCAGTTAGTGACCAACAAAGAGTGCAGAATCGTGAATAATCTTTCTTCATTAAATGTATCACTTCATTATGTAATTTTTTTTGAAAACAGTTTATGTCTGGGTTTAAATAAAAAAAAATCCTAAACTTTCAGTGTGACTTTTTGATCCCACTGTGTTTCTGATAAAATGGCCAGTTGTAGGTGCAAAGGAGGTCTACCTAATAAACTGGAAACTCTGTGTACGTCCTGCAGTATTGCATTGGGAAGACGTGATTCAGTGGCTTTTTCTGATTACTTGAATTGTTGCATTGAACTTCACTTTAAAGGCTGTGTGGATGAACTAAGTTTTGAGGTATGTGATTTCTTTAAATGGGAGGATTATTTCCTGTGTTTCCGAGGGACTCATTTGTGCTGCCGTTCGTATTGTGACTTTGAGGTCGTGTGTTAGTTCTGAAACGTCTGTTGCAAAATGGCTCACGAGTTTTGTAATCGATGGCTGTGGTAAGAATGACATGGTTTTGTCTACTTTAGGCCGCAGTTCCTTTTTCATATGCATTTCCTCGCTTGTTCAGATCAGCGTCAGTGTGTGGTTTGCCTTGATGAACATATGAAGAAAGTAAGGGATTGTCTTTGATATGTGGCGTGCTCACTCGTGTTGTAAGTGATTTAAGGTCGATAGCTATCAGCCCTGATGTCTCTCTTCAGGGATGGGAGTATTTTTGCGATTTCTTTCGTCATTGTTGGTACGTTTTAATTTCCGTGCTTGAATTTATGGCCTTTTGTTCTTTTATTCTGGCCTTCTGGTTTATTCATAAACAAGTAGGACAGAGTATTGGTCTGAAATGTTGGACGGGCTCTTCACTGGGAGATCTGTAGGTGCGAGCGTTTTTCAGGTTTGAGTTGATTTTGCTGTTGTGCTGTTTGTTCCATTGACGTGTGGCTGCGATTCGGGGGGAAAAAATGCCCTTTTCTCTTCCTTTTTCAGATTTTCAGTAGAACTTTGGTGGAAGTTCTAGAGTATTTTGGATCTTGAAAGGGAAAGCTGTGTACTGATTTATTGCACATTTTGAACTAAATGTTTCTTTTTATATCTGCTCTAAAAATGTAAATAAAAGACTTATTCTCAAATTCTTTGTGTTTTTAATTTTTAAAATGGGAGTCATTTTTACAGCTGGACAGAATGCCACTACTACTAATAAAGAGATAATAAATCAATACAAAAACATAAATAAACAATATTTTGGTAATTAGTTCAACAATAAATACATAGAAATAATTTTTTTCACAATACATAATAATGATAATAATATATATATATATATATATATATATATATATATATATATTATATATATACACCGATCAGGCATAACATTATGACCACCTCCTTGTTTTTACACTCATTGTCCATTTTATCAGCTCCACTTACTCTATAGGTGCCCTTTGTAGTTCTACAGTTACAGACTGTAGTCCATCTGTTTCTCTGCATACTTTGTTAGCCCCCTTTTACCCTGTTCTTCAGTGGTCAGGACCCCCATGGACCCTCACAGAGCAGGTACTGTTTGGGTGGTGGATCATTCTCAGCACTGCAGTGACACTGACATGGTGGTGGTGTGTTAGTGTGTGTTGCGCTGGTACGAGTTGATCAGACACAGCAGTGCTGCTGGAGTTTTTAAACACTGTGTCCACTCCCTGTCCACTCTATTAGACACTCCTACCTTGTCAGTCCACCTTGTAGATGTGAAGTCAGAGACGATAGCTCATCTGCTGCTGCAGTTTGTGTTGGTCATCCTCTAGTCCTTCATCAGTGCCCACAGGACGCTGCCCACAGGACGCTATTGACTGGATATTTTTGGTTGGTGGACTATTCTCAGTCCAGCAGTGACACTGAGGGGTTTAAAAACTCCAGCAGCGCTGCTGTGTCTGATCCACTCAGACCAGCACAACACACACTAACACACCACCACCACCACGTCAGTGTTACTGCAGGGCTGAGAATGACCCAGCCCCCCAAATAGTACCTGCTCTGTGGGGGTCCATGGGGGTCCTGACCACTGAAGAACAGGGTAAAAGGGGGCTAACAAAGTATCAGAGAAACAGATGGACTACAGTCTGTAACTGTAGAACTACAAAGTGCACCTATATAGTAAGTGGAGCTGATTAAATAGACAATGAGCGCAGAAACGAGGAGGTACTAATAATGCTATGCCTGATTGGTGTATATATATTATATAATATAATATTATTATTATTATTACACTGTATTGTGAAAAAAAATATTTTTTTAGAAATTATTTCTATTTATTGTTGAGCTAATTACCAAAATATTATGTTTTTATATTGATTTATTATCTCTTTATTAGTAGTAGTATGAACACATAATATTTATTATTATTATTACATAAGAAATAACAATAACACTAATATTTCTGCAATTTTTTGTTACCTGTTTTCATTGTTTTTATCTGTGGTGGGCAGCTGTTGGTCCAGTGGAGGGTTTTCTGGCTTGCTGCCTTTAAACAGCTCTCCTGTCCCTCCAGCAGGCTGCACTGACTCTGGAGATCACTTTATTACACATGACGAATCATCATTTGGATGTGAATCTCCTCCCTCTGTGCTCATTTAATTGGTTTCTGTGGAAGCTGGCGTCTGTAATGCTCTCCTATGAGATTCCTCTCAGCAGTCTGGCTCCGCCCAGGAGGACGAAACCCCCCTCTGTTCAGCTGTAATCACAGCAGATGCTGCTGTTCAGGTGAACAGTGAGATGTGGGTGTGCAGGACCAGGTTTACCAGCTCAATAAAAGTAATCAGTCTCATTTTCCAGGTTCTTTCCTCATCAGTTTGTAGATAGATGTACTTTTTGGAGTGCTGAGATCAAAACTAGTGCTGAAGTGTCAGTCATGTTTATTTACTCTGTAAAATAATTCTTCACAGTTTGTGTTCTCAGCTTGGAGCAGTGCTACACTCCAGAATGATAATGTTGCTAATAATGAACAGAAGCTAATAGGAATTAATTAGCATTCCTAATCATAAAGGGTGACTTAAGAAGCTTTGATGTGATTTGTCTTTGGATTTTAGCACCTAGAGGTCCAACACAATCAATTCCAACTTCCTGACCAGCACTGTGAATAGCGCTGGACAGTGCAGTTCCCAGAGAAGTGTATCTGTTCTTAATATACAGTGAGGTCCTACAGTGGCTGTGTGTTGTTGTAAATACCCACAACCTGTAAACATGGGTTCAAAAATATGCTGCAGGAAATTTATTTACCAGTGTTGTGTTCAAGAAATATATATATATGAGTACATTTTAATAGTAAATAAATACTATTTTGAGCTGCAGCCTGCTCTTAACTATGGGTGTGTCAGAATGCAAAATGATTGACAGTGGTCTCCCAGGCAACGGTTCAGCCCTACACATTTAAGCCCTGCCCCTGCAGAAAAAAAGGCCACTTCACTCTACTTGACTGCTCTCTGATTGGTGCAAAACAGACAACAAGCTGTCTAATAGTCACTTTAGACAGTAATTACATTAATTACATTAATTACATGAATGTAATTAATTACACTAATTACATTTTTTCTGCTAGTTTTCAGAAGCTCGTGCTTTTATCTTATGAGGGTAGGTCACAGATACTTGAACGCATAGCAGTGACGTTATATCAGAGAACTTGTAGAGAGGAGAATTTCCCCTCTAATGTATTCCGGGTTTCTCAAACACTAGGGGGCGCTCCCGAGCGAGTCCAAAATTAAAGAGTTAATATGGAGCTAATATTTGAGAAAAATCATAGACTATAAATAATTATAAATGACTGCACTGATATATATTTAAGAGAGTTGTAGGAGTTTAAAACGGCGCCTCATGTACGTTCATGACGTCAGTGAGTGCAAACAGCCAATGAGCTGCTCCGCTCGCCAACCAATCAGCTCTCAGTAGCAGTAATGCCAACGTCCTGCTGCCTAAAACCAGTTTGCTGTAGAAAATGAGAAACATACAGGTGAGTTTTCTGAGGTTTTTTAGTGAAAAACATCCTTCTACTTTCTAAAATTAAAGGAAAGTAGAATCCCTTAAGAAAATGAAGAAGATTAAATTACAAGATGAAAACCACAAGACATTCATCATCTAAACCACTTATCCTTCTGGGTCGCAGTGGGGTGCTGGAGCCTATCCCAGCTGTCATTGGGCAGAAGGCAGGATACACCCTGGACAGATCACCAGTCCATCGCAGGGCAGACATATACAATCACACACACATTCACACCTAGGGGCAATTCAGCATCTCCCATTGGCCTGACTGCATGTTTTTGGACTGTGGGAGGAAACCGGAGTACCCGGAGGAAACCCACACAGACACGGGGAGAACAGGCAAACTCCACACAGAAAGGACCCCCGGCCAGGAATTGAACCCAGGCCCTTCTTGCTGTGAGGCGACAGCGCTACCCACTGCGCCACTGTGCCGCCCTTACGAGCCATTCAGTTTTAGTTAAATGCTAATTTAAAGAGATACGTTTTTAGGCGCTTCTTAAAAGTGAGCACTGAGCTTGACTGTCTGATAAAAGGTGGAACTGAGTTCCGCAGTTTAGAGGCAGAATAACTGAAAGAGCCTCTCCATGTTTCCTGTATTTTACAGAGGGGTTCTGTAGAAGGCCACTATCTGCAGATCTTAGATTATGTGCCGGAACAGTTTAGTCTTCAATAAAAGGATGCTTTTAGAGAAATAGTAGATTTTATGGTACTCCATAACCACCAAATACCTCACTTAAAAAATGCTCCTGCTAGGATCGTCACCTTTTCAAAGATGAATAATCATATCACCCCGGTCCTTCAGAGTCTTCACTGGTTACCTTACATTCTGTGTTCAGTACAAGGTTTGTAAAGCTTTGCGTGGTCTGGCTCCTCGATTTTTTTCCATTATTGAAGCAATTTCAAATAAAAAAAACACATGAAAACATTTTAATCATGTTTAAGTAATAAATAATGCAATAGTGATTGTATTATTTGTTTACTCTTTGTATTCTGTATTGCCGATTTACAAAGGCATCATTTCCATCAAGTAATTGTACTTGGCTTAAGTGATTCTGACTCTGAAGAAGCACCATTAGGTACAGCCAGACCAGAGTCTGCCATCCATGAGCATGTCTGAATATTTTGTAGAGGAGAAGAAAGTGGCGGATAAAGGGCCGCTTTTGAGAACCTTTTTTATTTCTCTGGCCTTGAAGCAAAGGTATTGGAGTGGCCTGTCTTTTCCCTGGCTCAAATCTACCACTTGATGTTGAAAACACACGAGGCGGTCCACAGTGAATACTGTGGTCTATTAATATTCATTATACCTCCATCTAGCCTGGGGAAGGGGATGGGAAGGAAAAAAAAAAACAGACGCTGTATTCTCTATTATATCTCTAGCTTTAAATATTAAAGGCAGTTACAGTTTATTAAAATGTGCACGTGTCTGTTTTTGGCTCGTAGGCCAACTACTCCTGTTATTGTCACTGCTGTTTGGATTTAGTTTTTGCTTTTTCTTTTTATTTCAGTGCCAGATCTGGATTGCAGGAGAAAAATGGGGCCACCCTGTTTTACTCAGAATGTTTTTGAGCCGTCATCAACAACTGCAGTCACGTTTTTTTGCCCACTCCTGAAAAGTCTCACTGCCTGCAGCACAAACTGACTCAAAGGTAGAGCACTGTTAGGGGAGAGAAGCCTTTAAGTGATCACTATGGTTACAAACATTTTGTATGCAGTTTTGGTCAACTGTGGTGCGAAAAGTGACACTATTATAGCTCTGTGAGAAAAGACTGCATATATTACATATATTATTTTCACTGGTTCGAGGTTATTTGATAAATCTGTTCTCTATTGTTTTATTTCCGATCCGTAGCACTTTAAAGGGGCTAAGCATTACTGCCACAGCACATTCGGCTTCTCCTGTAGAGGTAAACTATGCCTGAATCTATTTAAAGGTGATGTATTTACTATATTTTAATGCAACGTAGTTTACTGAACTAAACCATGAGGAGTATTAAACAGCTGAAACATTAATTCAGTCTTATTTTGATTTGTATGGTGTATTTAATCCTGCACTCTTAAAAAAACGGGTCCTTATGGGCTCTTTAGTAAAGAA